ATCTAAACAAACGTTGATATTAAAATAAATATATAATAACAAATTCGTTACAACTTACAATCATTTTCCTACAACAAATTAATTAAAGGTGAAAGAAGCTAAATAATGGCACCACTCACAACTAGCAGAAAACCAGTGTTCGATTCTTGGTCGTTTTTCTTGACAGTCGTAACGTTTCGTTCTAAATCACTATCACCAAGTAGTAATTTTTTACGTTTTTATACATACATTTCCCTCAATAAACTTTGCTGTAAACAATAGAGCCTTTTAACTCTGTTACTCATGCAAAGGTAATAACAAATGCACTTTTACGTTGAATTACCTATAACGGTGGAGATCCTCTGAAAAACCTCAACTACAGCTTTAATAATTGTCTGAACACGTGACAATTTCACATTCTAGTGTTTAAATTGTTCTTGATTAACATGAATACTGTGGGTTGAGTACGTTAGCTTAAAACGATTTTGAATAGATAAATCAATATGTCACATGACAACTATAGCCAATATAAAGTCGCGGTAGAATGACATCTCAGAACTACATTTTGACATTGTTTGGCGTTATGTAGATTGTGTGACGCCACTGAAAATGTGTCGCTTTTTGGAACGATTTATAACAACCCTTTCCGACACGAAATACTCACAAACTTAGCTCATAAAGATGCGTTTATATTGAGGCTTTACAATTTCTAAGACGGTATCCCTTGTACTTGATGGCATTGGGTAACAAAAGAACATGGATTAAGTTGTAGAATCGGAACCATAGTTACCCAGTCTTCATTTGGGTACCCTCGCTCTTGGCAATATTTTCGGCTGTAATCCCAACAATACCCAACGTAGGAGATCTAGTTTAGTCAAATACTAAGGTAACAATAATAATGGTAATTTGTTTTCACACGAAAAAAAGTGTTTTAATTTGAATGTAGACACGAAGTTGTCAAAGAAACTGTGAATAACACTTCCAGCTCCTTTCAATTATAAGTTTTTGGTTTATTTAACTTCTCATTATTTACTCTTAACTATGCTGTGTCTTTATTCTCCCTGTTCTGTCATCGGATTAATCAAGAAGATCAACTTACTGGTATAAAAAAGACATTTTATTAACAATAAAGTATTTACATTTTTCACAATCAAGAAAAATAAAAAGGCGAAAATAACTAGATCAGTTAAGCAAGGCTACAATATCAAACCAATGTATACACACACACACACACACACACACACAAGTTAAACCTTAACAATCGTAACATTTCAAGCAAACCCGTAGAACCAGTTAGGAAGCACTAAACGTATTCAGTGTTGAATGCCAGTAACCAGTTGGTTGAACAATGATGGTAGCACAACAGTTCCTTATCAAACAAAGTTCCCCTATCAACTGACTAAAGTTGATGGAAACCAGAATAGTACTTGTAATGTGTTTGAGATATTTTCTGAATAGTTCATTTACAAGATGGCTGTACTATAGATCAGGGGTTCTCAAACTTTCTCAGAACAAGGTCCCCAGACCATTCCACATCCTAACGAGGTCCAAATCGAGTGGATTTATAGATACCGAGTACCTTAATAGTATTTTGTGTATTTGCTATACAACATTCTCCTGCACCACCAGTTTGGGAACCCCTGCTTTAGATAGCAAAACTACAACAGTAATATCACGAGTGTTAACTGCACTTACATTTAACTAGTGTATAAATAGAAAATAGAACAGTTTTTGATAAAGTCAATACTTGTCACTATTTATCATGTACTTTAAAAAATAATGTTTTGTCTCGTTTTACTCTCCCGTCCAGCAACCTCTATAAAGTTGTTCTTTGTGGGGCTTTAATTGATTTTCTCTGTATCTCTATGTTAAAAACTAGGTATATCTAGGCTAAGTATAAGTTTTCTTTTCTAGATAACGTGTCTTCGGCAGAACAATGTGACAGCGAAATATTTCACCTTTTCAACAATCAATGCTACTTTGTAGCCTCGTACCCAAAAGTCACTTGGGTTACTGCTCGACAGATTTGTGTAGAGTCTGGGGCTAAGCTAGCTTCCTTCAGTTCTACAGAAGAAAAGCTGTTTGTGAATTCTCTCATTCTTTCAACCGAAGCTTTTTCGTCGGGTGTGCTGTACTGGATAGGCGGAACTAAAGAGGAAGGTACTAGGAACTGGAACTGGGTTGATGAACAGCAGGTCGGTCAATCAGGTGAGAGAAGGGGAAAAAAATATATTTATAGTACTTCTTGTTTTTTAATAAATATATCTTTTGATAGAATTGTGGTCAAACTGACCACTCAAATGCAAGTAAATGATTAGGTAGTAGTTTGATATGTTTTATAACTCTGGGTAGATAGAGTTCCAAAGAATACATTCTTAACTTGATGATGACCTGAGGAGGCTAAGCGTTGTTACTTGTTTTATGTTTATAAATAAAGGTTTTTAATGCCCAAATCTGCCGGCTCTAATATATATGTATATATATATATATATATACTTAAAGTGGATTCGTTGTCACCATGAATTACTTCGTGTTTTATGTCTTTGCAAAATATTCTGTGATTGCATTCACCCTAAGCCCTTTTAAATAAGATAACGCATTGATTATAAATGTCCAAATAAATTCTCAATAATTCAAGAAATTTTGAAGAGAATTCTCTTCTTTAAAAAGGAACAAAAGCCTTTTGTTCTTCAAAATAGAATTCTCTGAGACTAGCCGCGACCCGCAAAACATTTGCGGTAGTTTCATGCCCATTACTTGAATTTTCCTTATTCTATCATTTTCACGCACGCCGTTTAAGCTACGCTTTCTTGCAGACATTGTGTGTTAGGTTTATAAATCCTGGTCTATTTGAAAACGAGGGAATTCTCAATAGCTGCTGCACTTGAAATTCTTTTAGACAAGATTAAAGTAAATTAATCTGAGACCTTTTTATTAGCTATATTATTATGCGCCAGCAATACCAAGTGTGAGACGAGTGTATATTCGATTTAATTTTATTACTCATCAGAATCGCTACCAGCCTACCCTCAAATTGAAATTCTTTTAGGCACGATTAGAGTAAATTAATCTATGATACCTTGAGGGTTGTCAAATACATCAATCAAAAGGGGTTTGACCTCCCGACTCCAAAACTGTAATTAGATCTCAAATCAATCAAGAGATGGCGGAACTGTGAGCTAAAAGTTTGTACTCGAAAAAAAAAAAATTACAAACTCGGAGCCATTCTATGAGCTAAAAAATTTACGCTGTCAGATAAACAATTTCACGTAGGCTTAACTTTATTTCATAAAACTAAACATACAGTAAACAATAAAGTATAATAATGGTATTTATAATTATGTACAGATTATGAAACAGTTATGAGAGTTCAGTGGATGACACGGTTTTACGAGTTGAAACAAAGAAACTCACAAAATAGAAGAATAAAACCTGTACTAAAGAAAATAGTAGCTAAAAGGTGTTTATAGCAGTTTATAAAACGAGCCGACTTTAAATTTACGCAAAGTACAGTAAATATAAAGTTATAATGAAGCTAAACTTATCTGAGTATGCAGAAACGTCTGAATACATGTTCACAAAGTGATAAGAATATGGCTTTGAACGAACTGCGTATTGTAAACCTCAATAACTGAAGAAAGCTCATAGCATTTGTATTTAGTGTAATTGTATTTTTTTAGGAAACTAAATGCGGTTTAAGTGTTGTGTGAACTACTTTGCAAATAAAAAAACAACAGGTCGTCACGTGATGACAACGATATTGTGCCATCGTGTACCATACTCGTTGTATTTATGACACTGACTAAGTAAAAGACAGGTAAAGTGAATGGAAAAGTCATTATACAATCTGAACTCCTCGGACAAAGGCCTTTCAATCGATATGACATTTGTAACGTTTGATCTAGAAATTTGCGAGAAAAGTCCCGAACAGACAAACACAAGAGTATTATTTATACGTTAATCAAATACAACACGTATTTTGTTGAACTTTGGGCATGATGGTGGGTAAAACAAAATAGGATCGCAACCCTATTATTCGGACCAGACCTATACTTTACAGAACCAACCAGAATCTTTAAAACATATTGTGGTATTTTTTCCTCTCGAAAACAGTGTTAATAACTTTCTTTATAGTAACGCCATGGAATCTAGATTAATAGTTTCTTGTCACTACCCGGATGCACTCGGTATAGCCATATCAAGCATCATTATTTACGCTAATTGCTTAAGTTAATATCACGTGACACTAAACGCTCTTTAATTGGGATGATTTCATAAAATTTAGCAAATTTGTGCTGAAAAGTTGGCAATGAATAATGAATAATAACCGTTCACCCGTATTATCCTTTTGAAAACTTGAACTAGAAACTGCTAATCTAGTTTGCTTGGTCTAACCAATACTCGTGTATCTGCACGTCATTTCACCCAATAGTTTTGCCACTCTAAATCAGCAGTCTTTAATTCGAATTACAAAGAAAATAAAAACGGTCTACCTTTACTCTTGGGTGAAGCTGTAGTTAAAATTTCAGAACGATAGCTTCTCGTGACTTTTTGCGTAGGCTTGCACAAAAGTATGATCATAATTGAGTGTTTTTTGTTGAATAACTTTGCACGTGTGGCTCATATTTAGACCAAATTTGACGCCTAATTGTAAGTTGTAAAGATCTATCAGTTTATCAAATCTGAAAAAAAAATACTTGAAAGTTAATTATGTTTTACTATAAAATAAATTTTTCGTACTTTTGGTTTGTGGGCCCTGGCATGGCCAGGTGGTTAAGGCACTCGACTCGCAATCTGAGGGTCGCGGGTTCGAATCCCTGTCACACCAAACATGCTCGCCCTTTCAGCCGTGGGGGCGTTATAATGTGACGGTCAATCCCACTATTC